TTTGATCTCTTTGTGGTGTGAGTGACTTTTCTATTGCATACCTTGCTTGCGTGGATCAGTGAGACCGTCACCGGTTCATGCATTGGATATTCTCTGAGATTTTAAAAAAAAAACTGTTTCTAGGCAGAGCAACAGTCTTATGTGGTACCTTTTTTCTAACAAAAATCACAATTTTACAGCAGAATCACAACAATCCGAAATAGGGTTGTTTGTTTTTTTTAAAAAACCGAGAGCAAATGAAAAACATTCTCCTGTTCCAAGGCTGATTTTGTCTAGGGGCTTTTTTTATTCTGGGCCAATGTGAAGGATCGACAAACATTCACACAAAGGGTCTCTGAGCGAGTGTAGAGTGCATTTCCCATGCCATTAGACGCTAAATGTATGAGAGATTGACAAGGGGGCAGTGGATATTCACATGAGGGACAGGGAGGGGTTCCCTGACACCGGTGGGCCAGCATTGGAAAACTTTGGGCCTCCAGATGTTTTGGACTTCCCACTTCCAGAAGCCCCAGGTAACATGGGAGTTGTAGTCCAAAACATCTGGCATTTCCAAAGTACCTCTCTTTACTGTAGGCCCATGGCAGGCAAATGACAGACAGCACAATTGCGCACATTCCTTGTGCAATTTCTAGTTTGCACTGTGGACGCCTAGTAGGATTCTGGCTAGTGTATCTTCATCTAAAAATGTACGGCTGCTTGTGGTGTTTGCCATGATCATTTTTGTGCTGTAGATAGAACCCAAAACAATAAAACCAAGGTGATGTTACTTTAGGTACATCATGAGAAGACAAGACTCGCTGGAAAAGACAATAATGCTAGGAAAGGTGGAAGGCAGCAGGAAAAGTGGAAGACCAAATGTGAGAAAGATTGATGCCCTAAAGGAACCACAGTTTGCAATTGTTGTGAAGGATTGTTGAGCGGAGACACTTTCATAGGGTAACCCTTAAAGCGGAGATGACATGACTGCACGTCACAGTGACATACACAGGCAAAACCCAAGACCTTTGCCCCCACGGAGCTAAGTAAGCTAAAGGCTTTTAATTGGTTAATTGCTTTACTAAATCAGCATAGGTGTGATTAACCTCACGCTGGATGGGATTTAAGTCCAAAATATGAGGAGTGCTAAGGACCCACCAACTCAATACAGTATCTGGAATTCTTCCCCCCATTGCCTTTATGCACAACAGTTTGTAAGAGGCAAAATCAAGGCACTTTACACTAGCTCAGAGACCCTGAGTCTTGTTTATTAAGTAGTTTGCATGGAAGTCGCGTCAGGAATCGTCCTTGAAAACGGCTTCTGTTCAGTCCGAGGGTGAGAAGATAGTTCCTCTTTCAGAGCAGAGTTTACCCCCACTGCTGTTTCTAGAAGTACCTATATTAATGATCGAGTTGGGACTTTAGGACAGGAAGCCCATGGAGACTCCCAGCATCGTACAGCAGGGCTGACCTCGCACAAACAATGTAGATTGCCACCTTTGAGGTGTGGGCATAAGGCCATCAAGTCTAGAACAGAGATGGAGAAATGGACCACTCACAACGTCATAGGACCATAGATGGTCACCTCTTCCCAGGTTGAGAAGGAGCCATTGACAAGGACTCTCAGAGTATGACTCTCGTAACCAACTGTGTAGCCACTTGATAGTTGTTCTATCCAGCAACCCGGGGGCACTTTGTCAAAAGCTTTGCGGAAGTCAAGATATACTATGTCTACAGCATTCCCACCATCTACCAGGAAGGTTACCAAATCAAGAAATGAGATAAGATTAGTCTGGCAGGATTTGTTCTTGACAAATCCACGTCGGCTTCTAGTTATTACTGCACTGTTTTCAAAGTGGTTGCAAACTGACCACTTTATAATCCACTCCCAAATTTTCCCTGGATTAATGTCAGGCTGACTGGTCTATAGTTCCCATTTTCCTCTTTTTCATCCATTTTGAAGATAGGGACAGTGTTAGTCCTCCTCCAAACTCCAGCACTTCACTCATACTCTAGAAAATAATAGACTGTAAAGCAGTTCCTTTTAACCGTGCTCCCCTACTGGTCTTCAACAGAGCTGCAAATGCCGTGCAAACAAGGCTTTTCTGCCAATTTACAGATTCAAATCCCCCCCCCATGTGATTTCAGAACGAGTGAATGAGAGCAAATTCACATTCCCGTCACTGTGTAGTCACACCCTAAAATGACCTAATTGTATCAGTGTAATCTCTGTTAAACCACAGAAGCCTCTGTGCTGCAGGGTCAGAAAACCAGCCGTCGTAAGATCGAATCTACGTGATGGAGTGAGCTCCCGTCGCTTGTCCCAGCTCCTGCCAACCTAGCCATTCAAAAAAAATGCGAGTAGATAAATAGGTACCACCTCGGTGGGAAGGTAAACGGCGTTCCGTGTCTAGTCGCACTGGTCACGTGACCACGGAAACTGTCTTCGGACAATGCTGGCTCTACAGCTTGGAGACGGGGATGAGCACAGAGTCCTAGTCGGACACAACTGGACTAAATGTCAAGAGGAACCTTTACTTTTTAAAACACTGTAAAAAAATAAGGCATGCTTGTAAATATGGGAAGTTGTCTTATCCTGAGTCATCCCATTCTAGCCCACTTTTGTCAACTCAGCAAGAGCTTGCTAAGGTTTCAGGCTGTATTCTTCCCCGGGCCCACCAGGAAATCCCTAGCTATTAGCAGGTGATCTCACAGCCAAGTCCCAAATCCAGACCTGCACAGTTTCCAAAAGGAGATGAGATTAAATGCATTTGGGGCGGTGCAGTAGAACAATGGGGTGGGAGAAAGCGGCTTTTTGATTTATTCACTTAAAGGTTTCACCCTCGCTCACAATCTAGAAGAGACAATGGAGCCATAAGAAGGCAAAGGAGAGAGAAGGAAAATGAGGGTGAAAAATGAGTAAAGCAGCAGTGATTTACCAAGCTACCATATTCTAATAGCTTGCCATTATTCTTTGCCTTGTAAATTACAGTGGTAGCTCGCTAGACAATGACCCCGCTGTACAACGAAACTGCATCATGATGACTTTTTGTGATCGGTATAGCGATTCGCAAAACAGTCATTCCTGTGGGGGAATTCTGCTTGACAATGGTTTGGTCCGTGCTTCGCGGACTGTTTATTCGCAAGCCGACGATTTTTGCCGACGATCGTCAGCTTCCTAAAATGGCTGCCCTGTGTTTTCCGGACCCATGCTTCGCAGAGCAGCCATTTTAACAGCTGATTTGTGCTCGCAAAATGGCTTCTCTATGGGCGATCTTCACTGGACGATGAGGTAATTTCCCCATTGGAACGCATTAAACTGAGTTCCAATGCATTCCAATGGGGAAAGGCTTTTTGCATGACGACTATTTTGCTTAACGGCGATTTTCCCGGAATGGATTATTGTCGTCATGCGGGGCACCACTGTATAGTTGGAAAGGGTAGGTGGGTGGGTGGGTAGGAAGGAAGCAGTCCCAGTGGTTCCCAACCTTAGGTCCCCAGATGATCTCTGTGGATTATGCCGAGAAAGGGAAACATAGAGGCAAATGTTAGTTGGAAGGATTTTCATTGGGTTTGCTGTTGTCTATTCATGTTGAGGTTGCATATGAACAAGTCACACACCCAGGAAATGGGAGAATGGGTTCCTGCAGATGAGCCAGATAGCTTCTTTGCCTACGAGCAGCGTGACTCCAGTTTAAGTGCCATGGTTCCCTCCTGCGGAATTCTGGGACTTGTCTTTCGGTGAGGACCAAAGAAAGAGGTCTCACGTCTGCCAAATTAGGACCTTAGGTGTGTTACTCAGTCTGTTGCACAGCCGTGCAGAAAGTCTAGAGGCAAATTTCCTCAAATTAAGAAATCTCCACAGATGCGATCTGTTGCATCCTGAGGAACAAGCTTGTTTTTTTTTCCAGCTACAGAAGACAGGGTCAAAGTAATGGATTTGAATTATGAGATCTG